TGTATTGTATTTATTTATTAGATTTTTATCTGAGTTAATAAGTATCTCAAGGCAGTAAACATACTTAATACCCCCTCCTCCTATTTTCCTTACAACAACAATACTGTGAGTTGGGTTGAACCGAGAGAGACTGATTAACCCAAAGTCATCCAGTCAACTTTCATGACTAGAGCAGAACTAAAACTTACAGCCACTTACAGTTTCTAGGCCAGAACATTCACCACTGCATAAAACTGGCTCTTCAAATTATTATTCTGGTTTTGTGAAATAGTTCAGCCAGATATTCAGATTGCATTTGGCATTTTTATCTACCCATTGAGTATTTGGGATAGGGAGATGTTGATGTAAATGTTAGAAGCATCATCACAGGATGTTTACCCGAGGTGGGTAAAATGAGGACCCGGATTGTTGTTGGGGGCAATATGCTGACTGTAAACCGCTTAGAGAGGGCTGAAAGCCCTATGAAGTGGTATACAAGTCTAACTGCTATTGTCGGGCCCAGGATTCTGCCTCGTGCTTTTTGGGGAAGCATAGCTCAGAATGTTTAGCACGATGCCCACTTTTAAAACAAGGTGAGCCATTATTAAGGAGTCAGCTTCTCTTTTGTTTTTAAGACTGTGCAAAGAAAGAAAAAGAGAAGCAAGGCTAAACCCAAGATTACGGATCAGAAGGGCCCAAAGGTCGACACGAGTGGGGCTCCAGAAGCTGAAGTGCCTAAAACAGACAGGATGGAACCCTCTCCCCTGAAATCAAAAAAAGAAGAGGAGGAAGAGGAAGACATTCCACAACTGGTTCCTATCGAAACTCAGCCGCCTGAGAAAAAAGATCAGGTAATTTATTTCACCTTAAGTGCCCCCGCCCCAAAGAAACCCCTGATTTCCTCCACAGGTAAAAGGCATGAAAGCTTCTCATTTTTGTTGCAACGTCTCTCAACCTTCGCAACTGTGGACTTCAACTCCCAGAATTCCCCGGGCCAGCTTTTCTCTGACTGTGTCTTTTCTTGGTTTTCCCTTTTTTGGCAAATAGGTAGCCAAGCTAGAGACGGGCTCTCCGAAGCTGCGCAGCAAAAGGAAGGCAGAGATCCCTGTTTCACAGCCGGAAACACCCGTGGAGGCCTCCGTCTTAGAGAAATCAACCCCACAAAGGCCTGGTCGAAAAGCCAAGACAGCCGCGCAGGAGATTTTGGGAAAGACGCAGAGCAAGGATTCCCAGCGACCTTTGGCAAAATCAACTGTGGCTCCCAAAAGGCCAAAAACTCCTAAATCAGACAAGAAACCCCAAATTCCCAAACGGGACCTGAGAAAAGTGAAAGTGCCACTGTCCCTTTGAGCGGAGGAAGAACATGGGCTATTTTCGTAGCAAGATCAAAGGAAGCTTGGCAGAGAAGACGTTTAATTCAATGCTGGTTCACTTGTAAAACGTCCTGTGATTTTGTTTTCCATTGCGGGAATAAAACAATGTCCTGTTTTATTCTGTTCTGCAAAGCTGGATTTTCTAAAGAGCTTGTCTTTTCCATCTGGGCTTAAGATATAAATGTGACAATCTAATTTTGTATGTAATAATACTAGCCGATAACCCGGCGTGGCTTGGGTATTTATAGAGGTTGAAGTGTTTGTCGAGCCGAGGTGGCACAGTGGTTAAATGCAGCACTGCAGGCNGCCGGCCACATGACCACAGAGACGTCTTCGGACAGCGCTGGCTCTTCGGCTTTGAAACAGAGATGAACACCGTCCCCTAGAGTCAGGAACAATGAGCACGTATGTGCAAGGGGAACCTTTACTTTATGAAGTGATGGTGAGGTTAAGCTTTTTGTGAAGGATGGGCAGCTTGTAGGTCATCCATAGAATACAGACCTCAAGCCCCTTGCTATGTGATTCCGAGAATACCCCAAGATGATGCTACTGTCATCCAATAGGAAAAAAATTTCTGGATTTCTTTCAGCATGGTTCGCATTGGGCACAGCAGCATGGATGCATCAGAGATCACTGAAAATGTTATAGCAGCTGCCAGAGCAATAGCTGCCAAGGCTCCACAGGTAAGGGTGTTTGTTGATGTAGGAGCAGAGTTGGGGGATGGAGTTAAACGAATCATCAGCCTAGAATCGTTACGTTCCCACCAATGGTCCAAGTCCATCCCCTCTTGAATTCAGTTGACCCTTATCTGGTCCCAATTTAGTGTTGAACTTGAGATGACTAGATTCTTGTGCATTGGCTTAAACAATCTTTTGAGCTGCAGTGTAATGCACGGTCCTGATCCTTTGCATCTGACAGTGAACTAGTACCATATTTTTCAGAGTATAAGAGGCACCAAAGTATAAGACGCACTTGGTTTTGGGGGAGGAAAATAGGGGGGTGGGGGAATTCTGCCAACCAGGTATTCATCTGGCTAGCGTCCAGCTTCCTTAGCCTGGCCAGCTTAAGGACATTAGTTTACTGGTTAGAATGTGTGTGTGCTTTTTATCCCCTAGTTAGTTGGAGATTTTTTAAAAAGCAGCTTCTAAAGCACAGCTGATCATCGGGAGAGAGAAGCAATGGGGGGAAAAAAAGATAGCGCCTCATTAGGACTGAAAAAAAGCTTTGAAAAAGCTACATTCAGAGTATAAGATGCACCCGAATTTTCAGCCTCTTTGGGGGGGGGTGCGTCTTATACTATGAAAAATACGGTAAGTTCCAGACAGACTCTGTACAGGTAGTTGTTGACTTACGACCAATCACTTAGAAACTATTCAGTTACAACAGACCCCTCCCCCAAAAGCTACTTACAGTTGAGTTCCGCCAACTGCACACAGACACACACATCCATGGCCATATGACTGCATTTCGGGTGCCAAATGATCAACTCACCTTTACAGCGGGTTGCAGTGGTCCTTTGATCACAATTTTTGGGTTTTTTTGCCAGTTTCCAGAAAAACCACCCCGAGGAATATATTGATTCGCTTAACGACTGCCACAGGATTCCGTTTCAAAATTTCCAATAGCAATTTGATGGGGTTGGGGGGGGGGCTTCTCTCTTTTCATTTGCTCGCTGTACGACATTACAGATGTCTCTCTTCCCCCTCCTTATGTTGCTCCAGATCTGGAAAAGCGTGAAAATCCTTCACCTCAAAACCAGCAAATCGATTGCACTTCCTGTCTTTCACTCTGTTTGCCAAGGTGAGGCTGGTGTTCAGAAAAAGGAAGGCACTGAAAACCAACAGGTGAGATTCTGAGTGTCAACAGCCAGCAGACGGACTAGGTGTTCCCCATAAGTTGTATGCCCAAAATCTCTATTTAGATACGTGTTTTAGTGGGAATCCAGTCCTGTCGTCGTTTGGTCGGTGTTTAGCAGCAATCGTTCAGTCGTTAGATGTAGTAATTAGGGTCCTGAGGCTGAAGACGAAAGAATGTAATCCACCCACGGATAGCTAAACCAACAAAAGTTTATTGAACAAAGCATTCCATAGATAGCAGAATCAACAGCATGAAGCATCCCATGGATAGCAGAATCAACAGCATGAAGCATCCCATGGATAGTAGAATCAACAGCAAAATTATTAATCATGAAACATCATTCTTATAGTGTTTGCAGCTTCTTTACCTCTACCTACTTTACGTGTAATATCATTATTGGTTAACAAGTCTCCAAGACACAATAATTGGTTAGTCCTTATATCATTGGTGTTCGT